TTAATCGTAAGCTTGGCGAACAGTTTTGGAGAATTTGATGTTTCCCCATTCAAAGAGATAGGAGCTGCACTAGCATGCCCGAGAGGCATTTCAAAGATGGCCGCCGAGTGACATGACTTGTCTTAAATGGACTTTGCCACAATCCATTGCACTTTGGCAAAGCATTTGGTTCAGAACTAAAAACATGAATAAAAAGCGTTTAAAAAAGCTACAAACATGGCATATGTGCACGACCAATGGTAGATAGGTTTAGATAAAGTGGTTTGAGTTACTAATAATCAACATTTAACCTGGTAAAAATATTTATTTAATGTTAATATATATATATATATATATATATATATAAATATATTTCGCTGCATATGGGTTTGGCAGTTGAGAGTGGACCCACAATGTAAGTAAGACGATGTTTTAAATGTATATATTAGTTTATGGCATGGGAAATAAACTGTTACCATTTGTAAAAGAGTTTGGTGTGCATTCTTTGAAATTTTAAATCATATAACAAAACATTAAAAATTGAGACCAAAACAAACAAAAGAAAAGAAAATTGTATAACCAACACAATGAAACTAAGCAAAGGGCCACAAAGGGCATATTCCACCACATAAACAGCAAAATAACCACACAACTATTATATCTGATGCTATTTTGCCGGCATCTAGATTGTTTGTTTGTGTGTATAATGGTGGAAACTGTTCATGTGTGTACATGCACTTTAGCAGTCCTTTCAAAATAAAAGTCATAGGTCACAGTCCATCTGTGACAAATACAATAAGCTTTCAATGAAGCAACTCTACGTTCCTTCGTTACTAGTTCCAAAGTGATGTTTTCGAATTAGTAACGGAGGCTTGGGCTCAGCTGTTAAACTGTCAACTTGAGATTTGAATCCGTGGCAGAAGGAAGAAGTTTTGCACAAAAAGGGGGTTTTTAAAGACACTCCGTTGTTATTTCTTATGTATTTAAACACTTGTGCCATTTAACTGTTGTATAAACGTAATATCACACTGGTTGCAGTGCGATATGGCTGTATATTGTTACTCTGTGACCTACGGCCGAATCGCAGCCGTGCTGATATTCAGCCATAGCGCACTGCTATATATATATTGGCTCAGAATCTGGGGAGGTAAATTAAATACATTATTCTACATGAGTCTGCAATCCACTGTAATATCCCAGGTTGATTTATTCTGCTGTGTTGTTTCCTGAGCCTGGAGCACATCCCACTTCTGTCCTGTGAATGTAGGTGCTGTCAGGCTCCATAACTGTCTCCTGATTTTTGTTCTTTTCCCTTTCTTCTTCCTCCTATTGTTGTTTCTCTCACCTCTCTCACTTAGTCTCTCAGGGGTTTTATTCTCTGGTCACCTCAACTACAGTGTTGACAGCTCCAACCATTCAAACTCCCGAGGAGACTAGAAGTGTGTGTTTGTGTTAGTGTGTGTCTGTTTGAGAACGAGTAGGTTACATTCCAGAGGGAGCATTTTTGTGTCAAACACACTCTTACACAACTCCTAAACAACTACTGTACTTGTTTAGGCACATATAAAATATTGCACATGTAGTTTTAAGCAAGCATTCATTATGTGCCTCTATATAAATATTTTATTTAGGTTTACAGATTTACTTACTGAGTTTAAGTGTATTTTTCCCCAAGTGTAGTCCAGTTATAGAGCAGGGCAGTGTGGAATAATACCAAGCAAAAAAATCTCCCAGGGACTTTGGAACAAAAGATGCAGAAATAGTGAAAGCCGTCTCCCTGCTTTTCAGGAAAGACAAGCCTCGCAGAAATTTGTTTTGAGAGAGGAAAAGGCTCAGTAGCAGAGAACAAAAAGACAGACTGCAACTGAAAGCTCTCAGACCTTTTAAGTAGGTGCTCTCTACCTTTCATGTGGACTTTGTATATAAACGTAACAGTCTGTAACCGCTCTCTAAAGTCGTTCACAATCCACATATGAAACAAATATCTACTTTTAAATTTAAATTAACACACTTTCAGTTTGTGACATTATGGTTTTGCAATGTCGGACAAATTTACATCTTTATTTACACATTATTTTCAGACTAAATCAGGTATTTGTGATCCTTCACAACATCATTAGTAACATCGTTATGTAACAAAAAGGTAACACCAAAATTAATTGGTTTTATTCAAGTCTAAATTATTAACATCTCTGAATCAACCTAAATACACGAATTTATACCAACAAAAAGCTCAGGTTACTAATGTAACCTTGGTTCCCTGAGAAAAGGGAACGAGCATTGCGTCACTGACACTTTTGGGGAAACTCCTGTTTACTCTGATACTGAAGACTGATATGTTCTTGTTCGTGTAGCTCCCGTTGCATCACTGATGCTTTTGGAGAATGCATCAAATGGCGCCGTGCTATAAGCAAGTGCAGAACGAAGCCGCTCTGCGAGCCCAGCCCCAGAGCACTCTTACTGAGGGCTCCTGTAAGCATGAGCCAATAATGAGACCCAAGCCGTTTAGGCTGAGGACTACATAACGTAACCCTCCCCACTTATAAGGAGATTAGGTAGAATTAAGTGGACAAAATCTGTGCCTAGGGCAGGGACGTCCAAGTTGTAAAACCTGGTAAAGTTTAGACGACGACGACCAGCCAGCGGCCGCACAAATGTCACCAATAGAAATTTCGTTGGACCAAACCCAGGAGGAGGCCATTCCTCTGTTGGAGTGGGCCCTCACACCTATAGGGCACTGCAAGCCTGCGTAAGCCAAGGCTAAAGCATCCACTATCCAGGTGTACAGGCAAGCGCTGGGCCAATCAAGGGCCAGGGCATCTTACTGTCACAAAAATTAGATTGGGCAGAGAAAGTTGTCTTCTGCATTTGGATCAGGATGGCTTCTGAGGCTCAGTGTCCAATGGCACTCTGAAGCAGGGATCTTGGCGCTTTGGAAACAGGTAGCGTTTCACCGTCCGGGGGCGTTGCTGAAGCCCAGGCTCAGGTTTAGGCTGGGGCTGAAGCGGCACCGGCTTGGCAGGCTGCTGAGCAAATGGAGCCTTCTGGTGACTTGAATCAGCCGCCGCATTGGAGCGCTTCGGCAAGAAGTGAAGGAAGGGGAAGGCTTCTGGCTTCTTCTGCCCCTGGGGGCTCCTTCTATGGCGGAGAGCAGCAGGCTGAGCTGAGCTTCTTTCTTCTTTGGCTTCTTGTTTTCATAGTCAACAAGGAGATGATCTTTGTCACTGAAGGAGAACAATTCTGACAAAATGGTGCTCAAAGCCGACTTATATAGAGGTCGGCTCCTCCCCTTTTGGCAGGTTAAAGCACCATTGGTTTCATGCAGCTACACGAATGTGAACAAATCAGGCTTCAGTATCAGAGTAAACAGGAGTTTCCCCAAAAGTGTCAGCGTCACAATGGGAGAGACCGTCCAAAAGGGAACTAACTTTTATGGGTTAAATCAGGTAGAAATATGTCTTTAAGGAAACAGTTGCAGGTTACCACTTTTTACAGTGTTAATTTCTTTGAAAATGTTTATAATTTTGTAATTTGAGATATATACTTAACATATATGTACTACCGTTCCAAAGTTTGGGGTCATTAAGATTTTTTTTAAGAAATTACTACTTTTTTAAACAAGGATGCATTAAACTGATCAAAATGATGGTAAAGACATTTATGTTACAAGATATTTTTTTAAAAGCTGTTCTTTTTAACTTTCTATTCATAAAATAGTCCTGAAAAAAATGAATCATGGTTTTCACAAATGTATTAAGCAGCACATTACAATGATTTCTTAAGGATCATGTGACACTGGCTGCTGAAAATCCAGCTTTGCCATTTGCCGTCACAAGAATAAATTACATTTTAAAATATATTCAAATAGAAAACAGTTGTTTTAGATTATTATCAATTTTTGGTCTCCCCAAAGCAAACAAACTAAAATTAAACATTTTTGGTTTTCAAAATGCATTAGTGGTCCTACTAAAACCACAAAATAACCAAACCTACCAGGTCTTAGTAGCTTAAATCCTCATCTATAATTTCATATGTCCTCTGTCCACTTTTCTTTCTGTTAGGCAAGTTCACATGCATTGAGGTACGTTTTCACCTGGAAAGACAGATGGGCTACTACCTGATCCAGATGTACATTCCCAGTCTGCTCATCGTCATCCTGTCCTGGGTCTCCTTCTGGATTAACATGGATGCCGCTCCTGCCCGTGTCGCCCTGGGAATCACCACAGTGCTCACAATGACAACTCAGAGCTCTGGATCCAGGACATCCTTACCTAAGGTCAGAGTGCATGCAGTGTTACAGCAAGTCCCTTATTCACATTTGTAACAAAGATTCTGCATCACTGGTCAGTATTAGGGTATAAGTTCTACTAGCACTTCTACACATCTCTTTTTCTGCCATTCATTCTCAGTTATCATTTATTAATGCAGCCCAGAGTGGAATGTGCAAAGTGCATCCATGTGTGAAAGCAATGTGTGTAACACAATTAAACATCCAGAAAAACAAAGATTCTGCATCACTGGTCAGTATTAGGGTATAAGTTCTACTAGCACTTCTACACATCTCTTTTTCTGCCATTCATTCTCAGTTATCATTTATTAATGCAGCCCAGAGTGGAATGTGCAAAGTGCATCCATGTGTGAAAGCAGGCATGCAGTGTGTATTGCATATTAAAAATGCTCATAAATGCTACATTGAGTTATGTAACACAATTAAACATCCAGAAAATAGGCCTTTTCACCAGGCAGAGAATTATCTCTGATTCATAGCGGCGATAAGGACAATATTCAGACAGATCCCTATGCTGTACAATAATAAAACGACTGGGCTGTTATGTAGGCTGGAATGAAAAGGCAAAGGCTAACTAAGGTATATGAGAACTAATGTGTTTGTGTCTTTCTGCCGTGCAGGTGTCTTACGTGAAGGCTATTGATATCTGGATGGCTGTGTGCTTGTTATTTGTCTTTTCTGCCCTATTGGAGTATGCTGCAGTCAACTTTGTTTCACGGCAACACAAAGAACTCTTACGATTCCGACGGAAAAGAAAGAAGTCCGGCAAGGTATGGACTGAATCCGCATTATGAAAGATAAATTGCATCCCCGTGTTTTGTCACACACTTGTGTTGACACAGATGTGTCACGCTCAAATGTTAACAAATTTGTCTATTACCCATCAAAATCATAAAAGGTAAAGAACGTTTTGAAGCAAGTGTATATAAATGCTGATGCACGCCGAGTGACGCAAGTAATTGCAGTGCTTTGGAAAAACATGACTGTGAGGTTGATATTGCTTATAGGCATGGCCGTAACCAGGGTTTGAAAATTAGTGAGGTCTGGGATGGGGTTAAGAATTGTGCTATAATAACCCCTACAAATACAACTCATTATATACACTAACACTTTAAAAGAGACAGACATGTAGATGTTTGTGAAAGATGTTTTCTGTTTTGGAGGGATGAACACTTTTAAATTATACCATATTTATTGTATCAAAATGTGTTAATACTTTACTATATAGGTTAGGGGTGGATAATTTTATCAGTTTATTATTCATTATTCAACAATGCATAACAATGTTTTTAGCTTGACTTTGTGAAAATGTAACTACTATACTTAATGAAATAGCATAGACTTCTTCATGGCTAGAGTTTGCATATTTAATTTCACTTTTTTGATTACTGTCAGTTTAAGTGCCGGCAATGCAGTCTTGCCAGATATTGCTACAAAAAAAAATAAAAACCTAAAATAAAATTAGTTAAAATCTTTTGTAAATAAGATAAGATAAGATAATAAGATAAAGATATCGCTAACCCGAAACTGCAACTTTATTAACTTTCTAAAGTGTCAAATTAAGTGGAAAAGATAAGTTCAAAGATGCTGGATCTGGCCCACACCCTCACTCACAACTCTCTCAAGCCTCTTTCACTCCGCCAGCGTCTCGCAGCAATCATTTTCATATCACGTTAAACATTCTTGCAAACTGTCTAAACTGAATTTTCTTGCTCTGTGAAAGAAAATAATTCTTCGCCGGAGTAGAACTGTGATTATCTGTTTTGAATGAATCAATTCAATTAATTATTCAATGATCCACTCATATAGACAGTCTTTTGTTTCATTAATGAATGAATCACCGTTTTTGAACGAATCGATTTAATTAATTTGTCAATGATTCACTTATAAAGAAAGCCACTTGTCACCTAACCTACAGATTGTCTGGAATGTGCCAACAAAGATTAACATTTGTTTGGAATCGCAGGTATTTAGGGTTTAAAGATAAAAATTTTTTTGTAAAAATTCTCTAAAATATCAAAACAGACACATTCTTTGTCAAGTTCAATTAGTGGTAATAAAAGATCACTTTATGACAGTTTACTTCATAAGCAGATAATCTGTGACACATTATCATATTATCACATTAACATATTTAATCATGTCAGTAATAAAACATTCAAAAAAAATCCAGAGATAAAAGGTAAATAAATAAAATCATATAAATAATAATAAGGGCAATTAAATATTCTAGCACTTTTAAAAGAGAAAACAGTCACATTTAATTGGTCAGTATCACTTCTGAAAAGAGAACCCAATAACATTCACACAGCACTAAAACAAAAAGTGAATTTGAAAATCCTAAGTGAAGAAGTTTACCCTGAATGAGGTGAAACTGTTGATTGGGAGACTGACAGAGTTTCTGCACCTTTTCGACTCTGCTCAGATAAAATCTAAACACACAGCCAAACACTGATTGAATGTGCATGTTTTGGCAGGCATTTTTGAGTTGATGTGATGCTAGGAGCTATGATGTTAAGTTTGAAAAACACATAAGGTTAGAAAATTAACACCCTTGTGATTATTAATGATTATATAACACAATAAAAATGTAGTCATTTACATATATCAATTAGAGTCACATTTGTTTACACTGGAATCACACAAACCACCACATTGTTAGTCCTACACTTATACAACACTGCCTCCTAGAGGACAGAAGTAGTCAGTGCGTCCTTATGGCATACCCAGCAACTAACCAAACATATTTCAAACACTATTTCAAGCCTGATAACCAATACAAAGGCCAGACTGCTATTTAGGTCTGTTTATATACTTAATATTGCATGTCACCAGAGATGTAATTTCCCCTCGCACTATGGTACTGGCATATTATTGGCATCATGATATGAAGCTTAGCCAGTTGAATATTCTGACAATTTTCAGAGAAAAAAAAGGTGCAAAGTGCATTAAGTTCAAAGGACATTGTAAAATGCATGGGCAAGCAGTTCAGGCACAGCACAATATTAGTTGCTGCAAAGATGAAAACACTTGATTTCAGAATAATACACATTTGCTTTTATGCTATTTCATTTCTTTTACATGCCTGTACTATTATTTTTGAATGCCACTTATTGTTTAATATTTATTTATTTATTTACATTGCATGATATCCTGCATGTGGAGAGCCTTTATATTTTATTAGTTTGCATGCTTTGTGTTTCCTTCTCTCTTCGATCCCCCTGCTGTGCTGAAAGACTTTTGATCAAACATTTGATGAGGAGCTTACCGAGTCATTGCGTTGTATCAGTGGCCTACACAGTGCCGGGCCAGTTTACGGATCAATGGGCCAACTCGACGAATTCAATGACAGGGCAATGAGAGAGCACAGCACTTCATCTCTGTCCATGCCTTTGACCGATGAGTTCATTATACAGTCACTCCCCTTCCCTATCATGTGTCCATGTTCATTCAGGTCCAGCTCTCATGAAACAGTATGTCACGTTATTTTACCATTCAGATAAGTAGTGGTCATAATGTCAAGATTAAAATAGCAATTTGAGTATTTTATATATCATATGATTATGGATTAATATGATACAACTGTTTCCATTTTTAGAACCTTACATTACTTTTTTTATTTATACACCTAAATTTATTAGCATATGGTATGTACACATTAACTTACACAAAAGCTTTCATTATAATTAATGAAAGCATCCAAGCATTTGGGGAATGCATCCAATAACGCCGTGCTATAAGCAAGTGCAGAACGAAGCTGCTCTGCGAGCCCAGCCCCAGATCACTCGTACTGAGGGTGCTCCTGTAAGCATGAGCCAATAATGAGACTCAAGCCGTTTAGGAGCAGCTCAAAGGGAGGGCCTCGTAAGGCCCTGAGGACTATAGACAAGTCCCAAGTCGGCACAGTATGAGGACGAGGTGGATTCAATCAATTGGATTTCTGCCAACTGATTGGCCAGCCACAAGAGAATGATTCGCTGCGATGGCTGCCACATACACTCAGTGGTGTATTGAAACAAAGTACTAATACTTTATTACAGTACTTAAGTATTTTTTGGGAGTATCTGTACTTTACTTGAGTTTTTATATTTCAGCCAACTTTTACTTTTACTCCACTACATTTCCTAATTAAAATGTATACTTTTACTCCGATACATTTCCCCGAAGCATATTCGTTACTTACTACAAAATAAAGTCAGAAGTCAGAAGAACACGGACTGCAGGAAAGCAGGTTTGACGAATCAGTGGTCTGGCATTTGCAAGTTAGACTCCAAATTATATTATTCCCATTATATCTTCTGCGATAATATGGTAAGTGTTGTGATGTGCGATCTGACATTATCTATCGCCAAATCACACACACAGAAACCATGCACGTGATTTTATTAGTCTATTAAAACTCAAAATTCAAGGCATTCTAAATTGTAGATGGCAAAAATGCTTCTGTATGCTTTTTATATTTATATAATTTAATATAGTTAACTTAATCTATATCACACAAAGAGTACCGTTTTTCTGCAGATATCAGCATGATAACAAATTTAATGATCATTTTATACAAGTTCAGTAAAGTTAGCAATGAGTGACTTACATTTTAGAAATAATATTGCTTATTTTGGATATATCACCCTCCGAAGGGCACTTTGGAGTGAAAACAATCATGGCCACCATATTGAAGGGTCGTTCCAAACCGAAGGGCTCAAAACTGGCCACTTCAAAGGGTCCTTCGGAATGACGAATTTTGAAGGGTACAACTGATGGACACTGGAAAACCAGAGAATGAAGCTATGAAAAGAGTCAGTTAACCACCTAACTAAAACCATCAGCGACTAAAACCATCAGCGCATTTATAACGGGGTCTACAGCTTATACTAAACCTCTGTTTCGTTCCAGGTTTGAAGAGTGATGAATTCCAAAGATGTTCTGACTCAGTGGTGATTGGGAGTTTCTTCCCAGTGGAAAGTGAAAAAGAGCTAAGAGAGACATCAGCTGAGATCCTAGGATCTTTGCTGAATGGAAAGTCAAGGCCCGAGGCCTGGCGCAGACTTAGGGTGTCCTTAGAGGGGTGCTAGCTCAGATCCTCATCTTCTCAGAATCTAACAGAACCGCAGACTGACCAACTATGTGTTGGAGCCCACCGGGCATGCCCGCACCGGCTCAAGCTCCAACACGGGCCGCAATCAGAAGATTTTTAGCAGAAGACTTAGAAGAAGAAGAACAACAACAACTACATGGGCGGAACTGTGCGTGAGCCTTTTAAGGTCTGAGAAAATTCACTCCTCTCAGGATGGGCTTGCCCAATGAGAAAGGCTGAAATTCCAAGCGGGAGGTTGGAAATACTGGGGAGTTTTATGACCCTTTGTGTGAGAGCATGGTAATTTGCATATGGAACTCGAATCAAAATTACTAAAGATTCTTAGAACACTA